CGACTTCTTCCGAAATTCAAGGAACTAATGATAATTCAAAGGTCAAAGTGATATAGAAAAGGCACATCTTGTCTTTAAATTTTTTATCGATCCAATTATGTCTGAATCATAAATTGCCCTTAAAAACAAAATAAATGAAATTGCATAAACTGTAATCAATATTTAGCGGGATACTTCCACAAACGTATAATTTGTGTATTCTGTTATTCACTGTAAATAGTGTATGTATTTAGATAATGCAAGCAATCCGCAGGAGGCCTTGCTTGACCAATATTTCATGCTAGTTGGCACTCGTCAGGAAGACATATTTGCAACCTCGAAGGAACTCACATGCCTTCTAAGATTCAGACCTGTGTCACCCAGTGATGCATTCAGAGATGTTACCACTGAGCTATTTGGGCTCACGATTGACCTCCTTCAAGGTTGCAGACACGCCTTGCTGATGTATGCTAACTAGCACAAAGCCTAGGTCCAAGGCTTCCTACCGACCGCCTCCAACCATCTAACATCAATAATTCGGAGTGCAATGTGATAACCAGCCAGCTAGTGGCATGGTGACCATATTGCAAACTTGACTGATAAAATTCAGTCAGCGACAAGCAAAGGACTAGACACATCACACTGTTTACTAGTGTTCAATCAAAGTGTACGTATTTTTTAAGTCTTTAATGAAAATGCCAGAGGAAACGTTGTTTGTTTTACATCCCCTGAGATTTATACAAATATCATTTTTACACAAGGCTAATTTTCACTGTGTCCAGTTATTGTGAAATTATTTGATCAGATCTAAAATATTCGTCCTCTTGTTCATAAAGCTAAAGATTGGTAATAATTGTCTATCGTCTAAATATCTACAAACAAGAAATGCTACGAATTGAAAACATGAAAACTGTATATCATCCGTCAGACTGTTCGCTTTTGCATTAACGGGACAATTACACTTATAAAAAAATATTTTAAACGCACGGAGTTTTTCCAAACATTTGCTTAATACAGAACAAGTTCTAGGTTACACTAGCACAAATATAACATATTATATCAAATTCCGTCTTGATTTTTGTTGTCTAGAAGAGGCGCTCTTCCTATGATTGACCGCCTTTCTTCTTCTCCACCCAAAACGTTTTACCGGGAAAAAGAAAGATCATATAAAGTGAAACATAATCCGAATGCAAAACAACTGAACATTATGATCCAGTCAGAAAAACTAAGATTAAATATGGTCTATAACAAAATGTTCTTATCCTGCAAAATCACATCAAACGCATGGAAACTATTTAAGGAAATTACCGGTGGAAGGCAGATAAACAATGATCCCTCTTCGACTGGTTCTGGTATGCTTAATAACTCCTTCACATGTTCTCCGGAAGAAGTTATGATCTCTGATGCTACAAATGAAAAGAATGGTCACATTACTGGTTTTAATACAAATGATCTTCTCAAATCTCTCCAATCCTTGAAACCTACTGAATCTCTTGGCTTGCCTGATACTATCCTCAGAAAATGTGTGGATATTTTACGTTATCCGCTCACTTTTATTTACAGTGAGTAAATTTCCTAAAATACTGTGGTTGATTCTTGGAGGAATATTGAAATTTTTCCTTTATCCAAATCATCAAATTGATCATGTGTTAAGTTTAGGTGTGTTCTAATTGCCTCACCATTTTTTAAAATAATGGAAAAACTGACTTTAATTTTACATTTTATATTCTTATTGCCATTATTATCAATGTAAATGCTCTCCTGATTGTTTCTGTTGTACTATTCGGTGTAAAGAGAAAATCAGATGTAATACTGTATTACACGCTAAAAATTCCACAATGCATCAAAAGTACTGTTTTGAATAAAGCCATTATTATTACTGCTGCTTTCTTCTTTCATTTAACTATATAATGCTAGTCAGAAGGCATTGTAGAATCTGATTATGCAACATTAACTTTCGTCTAAACTCTGTAGATATGACGTATAGAAGTACCAAAAGAACTGCCATATGATCCTTGTTATTCAGCAGTCCCTTAGTGAGTCGATCAAGAGATGTCTTGAAAGTGTTCAATTTCCCACTGACCGTAAATAGTATTTGCATTCATACATCAGCTTATTTTGTGTACCGATATAATGAATTCAGTTAAAAGATGTTTTCCAACTCCTGTTATATACAGTTTGCTTTATTTAGAATATTTTAATATGCTTGTAAACTGAGGCTACCATGAATTCACAAAAATTAATTTGTAAAATTCTATTCAGTGGGTATAAATATGTCATTGCTAATTCCCTAGTCATTTCGTTTATGTCCACGAGTAAACAACATACATATTACAAGTTAAAAATGTACCAACGATACGTTATGTTAGCGGTTTTATTCAACAAAACATTGTATTTTTCGGGGTCGTGAGGATTTCTTCTATCTGAAGGCAGATTTAGTCTTGAAATGATTACTACGAGAGAACAAATTCCGATGCGGGAACACAAAGAAACTCTTTGCTTCCTACTCTATTGTAGTGTAGTCACTACCTTACAATAGCTGAATCTACGGAATGTTATCAGGTGGACAATAAAGGATAAATTTCAGCTTCATTCTTAGAGTACAAGTATAATACTGTGAACATTATGCGTAATCGGTGATTAAATCTCATTCGAACAAAGTGGACGGTCCCCTTTAGCCATTACATCACATTGGATCCCAATGAATTCTGAAAAGTGTTTAATGATGATAAACGAAAAAAATTCATTTTTCCCGCCCTCGATGAATGCTACTTTTAAACTAATTGAATGTTCCTAAATCCAACAAGATAGATAGCTCAGTGGTAACGTCTCCGACTGCAGTACTCACTAAGTGACGAGAGTTCTAATCTCAGAAGTGACATGAGTTCCTCCAAATTGCAGATACGCCTTACTGACGATTGACAACTAGCACGAAACCTAGGTCAAACAAGGCTTCCTGCAGATTGCCCTCAACCATCTAATATCATCAAATCAATGCACACCATGACGACGAGCTAACTAAAATGGTGGCCACATTGTAACCCTGACTGAAAGAATTCAGTCTACACCAAAGAAAGTACTAGACACGTCACACTAGTTACTAGTGTTCAATCAAAGTAGGTTGAATCTGTTTTTCATTAAGAATAAGCTTTTAGTAAAATGTCACGGAATTCGTTCCCAATGAAGTGGTTTGTGAGGACTGGTTACCAGACAATAACATCGGTTAACAGTGATGCTATATCAAGGATTCGCAAATCAATATTTGTTCAGAGTCTTAAGGTGAGTTTATAATTGCTGTGAAAGGTGAACACATTCTCTTAATTTAATTATCAAACGATGGAGTTGTGGAATCTTTCCACTGCGCACAAAATAAAACATCTCTTAGGATGACTGAGTTGCCTTTGAGACTGAGATAATATCATGAGGATTTCATAATAAATGAAGCATAGGTCTGAATTTTCATCGAAGCCAGAGAATGTGGAAATGAATAGTTCAAATTTTGAGGCAAGTTAAAATTCTTGTACCTTGATAGACAGGAGCTGACATCAAAGTTTTCTTGTCTATGGTAATTTTTATCTCGTGTTATTGATATAAGTATAAGCAATAATTTGTGCTCGAAACGTCATCAGATAATATTACTGTGTAACACCGTGTGATTTATCAAAATGAAATCTTATCCATAATGGAGTTTTATCTCGTGTCTTTTCTAGGAAACTATTTCCACTGTTGTTTCATCAATAAATACTCGCCTAAGGAAGCTGTAGCTCACGCATGGAAATTTTCGGAAAGATTTTGTCTCGGTCGACCAAATATGTAACTTTGAGACGAACCCAAACTACTTAGAAATGTTCTTATTTATCAGACCAGAACTTCAATATTTCAACTCAATATCATAGAGTTTTTGAAGTAGAAAATGAAGCTAAATCTTGAACAACCTGGAAGTATTCAATTTACTTTGATTGTATAAGCAATTATAGTTGCTGTATGAAAAATGAAGTATGTGAATTTAGTGATTTAATTCTGCAAAATTATCATTAAGCAGCATTCAACTTCTAGCATAGACTCAAAACTAATGATTATAAAACCTACAGCCAACCAAAACAAACAATTCAGAAGCTTTCTGAAACAGATTGTAGGCACGTTTACTGAAACATATTCGAAAAGCTAAATTAGTCACTTCATAGTTTACACTTGATTTTTCTACATTAATCACACATTAAACGTTGATTCTTATCACTACTCACTTCTTAGCCTAGATGTGTAAACAATTTTGTTTTTTTGGTGATAACTTGTCTTTTTGATAATCCTAAGTTCAGTTGACAGTATCATTCAACTTAGATTATAGTAGTATTTTTTTCAGCTATAAACCTGCATATGTTCAAGAGAGCTAATCAGCTGAAAATTTTCAGATTACGCTTTTCTAAACTTAAGCTAACAAATAGTTCTATTCTGACTTAATCCTACTACAATCTGCTCTCTCAGTAGTGAAGTATGATGTCATTTACTGTTCTGTATAATGTAATTCCTCCTGGTCAGTCAGTTCATTATGTTTTTGTTTTCACCTTCAAAAGGTCCAATTCCTTTTAAGAGACTAAGTCTTGATTTAGATTTTCAAAGTAGAGACCCAAAAATTCACTGAGACAAGACAGTGTTGTTCTTCAAATAAACTTGTGGCGTGTGATACTGGTAAGATTTATCAGTATATGCAGATTGACAGGAAGTAGCCAACATTGAAAACAACAGTTTGAGAGAATGGCTACAGAAGTTTAGGGGTTTATTTTTCAAATCTGAATTGAGCTTGCGTTATGGTTGGAAAATAATCTCATCGGACAACTGTTCGCTTCAAGGTCTAACTTCCAGAAAGTCAACAGCCTATCAAAATAGTTTATTATCCGCTGACCCTTTTGAACTTAAATGTGGCTATAAATGTGTAGATATGGTGTGTTTTTCCTTAATAAAACAGTCCATCACTAAGTCTTTGGTCTTCTATCGTCACAAACTGCCTGGTTGAAGTATCTGAAGTAAAATGAAAAGCCAGTTAACAATTTGGTGCACCAGTATTTAACACGAGGAATTTATTATACAGAAGGATAAATCACTGAACAGAAATACTTCATTTATATATTATCTCCCCAATAGTAGTTATCATGCCTATTTTAGATCAATAAAAATATTTCACATGATGTATAACAATGCACAAATATCGAAGAACGAGTTAGTGTACACTTTTTCTAAGGATATTTCACCTGAAGTAAACTGAAAGACAGATCATGGGTTTGAGTAAAAAAAAGATGTTTCATAAAATTCAAAAAATTGATATTCAAACGATATTGTCATCATTCTGAACGTCATCAGTACATCCATTATCAAGATTTTCTGAGTAAATATTTCCTTGTGGATCTTCATATTCAAATGTCTCCTGAGGTTCATTTAATTGTTGAGTTTCAGCAACACCATCATTCTGGTTGTCAACACTTTCACCTTCTTCTGGTCCAGCAGGTGATATTGGATAAATAACAGACGAATTTTCGCTTTGATGACTAAAGTCTCTTAATGACTGTCTATCACTAAAACTATAATTTTCACATCCAGGTGATCTTTGAGGTATAGGTGGGGGCGATTCTGATCGTTCTCTGGATCTGCTTCTTTGACTATATCTTGATGATGATCGAGAAGGCACAGACGGAGGTTTTCGAGTGGCTGTTATCAAAGGGACACCAAAGCGATCTACAGGATGCACCATTTCAGTGGCTAACATCGCAGTCGGAAATCCTGATGCAACAGCATTACGGCGCGACTTCTCCTTTTTAGTTTGCTTGGAAGATTTGCTTTCTGTCTGACCTCTCGTTAAAGCTGTAGGCATTTGGTATGTACCATATGGCTGGTTTCTTGCAGAAGGATTCCTAGTATAAATATCAGGTGAAATAGGCCGATCGAATTTATTGAATGTTGTTATTGACGAAGGTGCTACTCGTGAGTTACTTTCTGTTCGTCTGTGGTCTGATGAGCTCGTTGACCTTCTCTGCCAGTAAGCCACCCACAGTTCACCCACAGTATCGCCTGCCACTAAATCTCCGTAATTCTGAGCGATCAGTCTCAACAAAAACACTCCATCTGGACCCAAGTGATTGTCAACAAACTGTGCAAAACCCTTTGTATCTTTATTATACTGGCGTATAGTTATCAGCTGCTGCTGAATCCACATGAATCTCACTGTTTTTGTACCCATTCGTCTGATCCATATTATAATACTGCAAAACGTCACAATACCAACCATGAAAAACCAAAGCCACAAAAAGATGTATATCTTCTCCAAGAACATGTTGATTGGAAGCACGCATTGTAAGGTGTAACTAAAAATTTAAAGAAATAAAGACGGATTAGGCAATTCATTCTTTGACATCACAATATTTTTATATAATAGAGGATGCATTCAGTTAGAATATTTACACAGAATCGACAGTTTTTGTAGGAACTCTTTTAGTTTGCATAGAAATTATGAGTAATTAACCTTGAACCCACGTACATTCTTAATTATTTATCAAAGAAATGCATCATTAGCTCTTTCAGTTTTTGAAATATTTCAGGTCCCTAGCAAATCACACAAAATGAGAAAAGCCTTCATTGTTTTAAGATTGTGAACAAAAAATTCTGGTTAGAAAAATATTCATTAAACAATACTACTTATTGCATGGGGCAGCGTATTAGCCATCTAGTGAAGAAGAATGTGAAAAAGGATAATTTATAGACAGTTTCCACAATGAAGCAATATAAGACAAAGAAAAATTGAACAGTGAACTTTCTGGTATTTAGGAGAGAAACAAAACAAGTATTGTGATTTAGTTCGTTTGCTTGTTTTTCTCATCTCTAACTAGTATAACTAAACTGAAAGCTCTAGCGTGCATCACAGCTGCTGAGTACAGCATAAATAAGATGCATGAGCACTCACCAGACCTGTGAACAATGCTCTGCGTAATGTGTGTACATATACAGAGTACACTAACAGTTAGTATTGGTTCGTGTTTAGTTCTTGTCTATCTGATACTTCTTTCTTAAATCATTTAAGTATGTTGTGTCAGTATTAGGCTGTGATGGCAGTAGATGAATCGCAATTCATATCACATATCAAAAGAATCTGCAGTTCATGGTTGCACAGTGATTATCGATTATTCCTCTCAGAACATATTAGAAATCATAACGCTAATTGTGCACCATTCATTTAAAAGTTTTCCTATACCTAAGTGAAGACCATTACCAGATATACTTGTCTATTATAAGTGCACTACTTTTTAGAATGCAACTAGCTGATATTTTCTAAAAGAACATTTCTGTCCTATTTTCCGTAATTGGGAAAAAACAATGTTTTTTTCATTGTGTTTATGAAAAATCCAGGCAAGGCTCACCGCTTAATGATTTACAGTACGCTATCTAAACTACCAATGACTCACTGAAAATAGTTTTTCTTCTAATTTCTACACTTTTCTTCAAATTGTTTGTTAGAGTCACTTTCGTATCTTTGTATTGGTGAGAAGTCACTAAATCAGACATGTATTTAGTCCTTTTCTAAAAATGAGGTCTATTGAGGTCTATGAGCTATGTTCAGACTTACAAAAAATGTATGCAACGTCCCCAGTGCACCACACATCCTTATGCCATTTTTGAAGTACATAAACGAAATCACAGAGGCATTTTAACATAATCTCAAACATTTCAACAACGAAATTAATGATTTATAGAACAACTGCAGAATCATGGACCTTGAAAATTCAAATGACAATACAAAAAATAGCTTTTGCTAGAAAAACGTTGTGAAATGAGCAGTAAGTATGGTATTTAATCTGTTTACTACTCAAAAGAGTTACTAAGTAAACATTATCGTGAATGTCGAGAGAGTAATTTGTATATCAAATCAAAATTACTTAAACTTGATTGTCTAAAAATTTTAGAGAGACAAAAACTAGTAAATTACTATATTCTATTTATTTTAACAGAAAACTGATGACTTAGCCCACCTGCAGTCATATGGTTTTGAACATTTTAGCTTAGTGGTGGCATTAAACTCCTACTTAACTATTAATTCAAATATAGGTTTCCAGGCAGTAGGTGTTACGAATTTCCTGGAATAATTTGAGCGCCGAGTCAGATTGATTCATTATAAATCTTGTTTTGATTTTCTTAACACGCTGGGATTAATTTAAATAATTTATAATGTATTAATCTAATATTCACCTTGGCATCTGACTAATGACATGCGGAACCTGAAATATATACTGAGAATGGAATTTGAGGAATAAGATTATTTTCCCCAGAAGAATTAACACATTCGAATGTATTTGGTGCATTTAGGATATGATACTGTTTACCTATCCCTGAAATGGTACATCAGGAAATTCAACGGAATTGAATGCACATAAATGAACGAATACAACACTTAAAGTTTGTTTCATCTAATAAAAAAACTAATATCTCTGTTGTACTCAGAAGGTGATACCTTGAAGTCTGAAGTCAAAATATCTTGACGTTGCGTTTGTTGTATGCAATAGAATTCAATAAGGAATAATATTTCTCTAAAGGCTAGTCATTTCAATATAAAAATATTACTTTGAAATAACAACACAAAAAATCAGCTGCTCTTTCTTTACTTACTATGTGATAAAAGCACGAAACAATTTACAGCAGCATTGACAACAACAGCGACTTGTAGCGTACTTAAAATTCTCCAGTTCTATCGACCTAATAAAAAGTAAAAACCCTACAGTCGAGAGATACTAGAGGCAAAAAGTAACCTAATCAAATAATACTACAGTGGCGTCATTCGCCTAACGAAACTACCGCAGATTAACACTAATCACTGGTGCAGGCCAAATTAGCAGGATAGGACCTAAATTATACATCCAAACTCACCAAAATGTCACTCCTGTCTGCTTCATGGCTTTCAGTTCAATTTAGATTTCCCCGTCGACTGACTAGACCGAAGTGCTCGGTCTCAGGTCGACATGTCAGCTCCTTGTGCAGATGCTTCGACGATGTCTGTTCATGTAACTTGAAGTCAACTGGTGAATGGTGACTAGCAGTGGAAACCATAATGCTCACTTCGTCGTGTTTGGGACTTGTCAGCTGGACGTACCTGCATCCCCCAGTGAGTGATGGTGTTCATACTGAGACTCAAACCCAGTGCCCATAGTCTCAAATGCCAAAGCATTCTCCACTAAACCACTTGGGCCAGCAGAGTGGCCTCTTGTGCGGGTCTTATTAATTATTTACTTCACGGCATGTTTCAAAAATGCTTAATTCCATTTTTTCTTCAATAATCCAACTCAGTGTTTATCTGCCTAAATCATCATGCTAAAAATGTAATCTGCTCACACCATGTTTTAAAGAATTATAAACTTTATTCCACCTGATTTTACCTAACGAGCTAAATTAACGTTAATAACTAATTCATATTTTTTTGAAAAGATAGAAAATGGTGATTGTGGAACTTTTTAATATGAAATCATAAAAACATGTTTAGTGAAACTAAATTAAATTTTAATTAATGAAGCATTTCGCGTTGACCTTAGAATATCTGTATGTTAATCAAACAGTCATCTTTCAATAATGAGTGTTAACTTCTCATTTATTCTTTGAGGATTACTATTTACACGCGTGTATTGTTAGTTGTCAGCGTAAAAAACTGTACACAATAGTAAAGTTATATATACCTATTCAGTGTTTTGATATTTCTGCACTATAAGATTGGAGTAGTTATTAAAAGCACACCTATGATTGCCGAACTGTTGCGTGATCTATTAGCTGAAGAGTAGTACATAGTCTCCTACAAAAGTCTCTAATAGGCTTTTAAAAGTGGACTTGTCTGAAAAACATGTGTGACAAATTACAGGGGGAAATCTAGAACTTCAGAATCTAGTATATATTAGTCTCTACACAAAACGTTTTCACTTAATAAGCCCAACACATGCGTATGAAGAAAACCCGGTAACCAAATCGCCATCACTGTATATTGTGAATGGTGAGTTTTGATTATGTCTAACAAATTTGTAATGTTTACTTTAAGCTTCACGGCAAAGCATAATTTGTTCTTGTGTTTAAGGTTGAAATACCCAATGAAAAGACCAACCAAAGGACTAGATGTAAGATATTAGACGACCAGCTGACTTAGATAAGCCAATTTTTCTACAGTGACACACCTAGTTTAGTTGTAATATATTTGAATTCTGCATTGAGTCCCACAAGTTAGAATCTTATGGCATATAAGCCTTTCTGTATTTTCGTGTATCAGTTAGTATAAGAACAAACTAACGGAGCACGTTTTCTTGTGAAAACAATGTGAAGATATTTAGGCACAAGACTTACCGAACCAATGCTGAACTCCATAGGTTACCATCATTCGTCAAATGATCCCTAATTATAGCTACGCCAACCATTTAAGTAATTTCCCGTGACTAAGTCAGGCGATAAATACTTAGGCAATCAAAGATTCACAGTTAAATTACCTAGCTCAGTGAACGCAACCACATCAAAATAACCCGACTGAGTAAAATGTCTCTATTATTTCAAAAACTGGATTGTGTTGAATTTAAATCACCACACATTCGCCATTAACCGTATTTATGCGGACAAGGAGAAGAACAGTCGATTATTTTAAAGGATTTTTAAACACCTAAATGTAACATAAAATAACTTACGTTTGTGTACTTTAACTGCATGTACAAGCGTGTTAAAAAAGGGATTATAGGTCAGTCAGTATTCGTTTTTACAGAATGCACAAAAATATTTCAGATATTAATGAAATTTATTTTTCAGACATGTTACTAAAAACTTACTAATGACTTTGAGCAAGTTTTTTTGCCTCGAAATCGCAGAATGTCACTCTGGGAAAGTGACCAGACTCTTCCCACTGTCTTCCTCTAGCTAAATCATACAGCACTCTGATACCGTAAAAATTGTATTCTACTCCAGTATAGAACTCCAGGAGAAAAATTTGGCCAATAATATTGAATAAATATAGAAACTTCACTAGCATATATAAACGAACAAGAAAGTTGCCTTGATATTTACACGGTGGTACATGAGTGGTATGAGCTGTTGATGAATTCTTCTTTGGATTTGTTTTCCAGCATGAACAAAAACTACCTGAAGCAGGTAAAGGCTCATCAATTAACATTTCACTTCCAGTTTGTGAGGCGTCTACGAATGATTTCTGGTTAGGATAATAACTATTTGGCATTGAGCCTCTGTATGAACCATGGGAAACACATGTCTGTGGAGATATTTTCGATTGCGTATCGCTGTACCGACAATAACTTGATTTTGATTGACGTCTTTTACATAGAGCACACATATAACGGAAGATTTGGAAGCAGAATGTTTTTGAAGGTTTTTGTGATTGCTGACTCTCTGAATATTGTCCTTCTTCAGAAATTTCTGTGGCCTGTTCTGATACAACTTTACCTGAACAAACACTTCTAACACGGTTCGACTGTGTGTGCTCCTGTTTGAAAACTCCACTTTCTGTTTCTGGTAAGTAAAACTCACACCGATCTTGAACACTCTTCATAGGGAAACTACTAACATTTTTCTCCGGTCTAAAATTAGGTGTGAATAAAATAGCTCGACGAAGTTCACGTTGTCTCATGAAACACATGTCCAGATAGCGAGCCAAAGTTCTGACGGATTTAGTAGCAGAAAAACTAGGGACAGCTGATGGATTTGAAAATCCTGAAGTGTTTACTAAGTTTGCGGAGGTTCGTTTTCGACCCTGAATTGCCTGATCGCCTGGAGCTGACTGGTTCTGTGGCTGACACGGAGCGTCTGCTTCAGCTGGTGCTGCCTGGGCTGCTTCTGAAGCGAACTGCATTATTCTTTTCACCTAAAAACGGTGGTACAAAGGTTTTTTGAGGAAAAATTATTCATATGTGGTATAGCATTTATTAGTAATTACTAATGGTATAATTGTAGAATAGACATGATTCAAACTCTTTGTCTTATAAAATGAACTTACTTATGCTGGTGATTTTGAGGATGTTTAATGAAATTTTTGGGAGGCGAATCTGTTACAAACTTGTAAAACACTGTTCATTTTTATTTGAGAAGAAGGTTCGGCGTACATTCAATGTAATAAGCACTTTAGACTAAACATGGAAACAATACAATAATACTTAATCTAACCACATTAACTTATCATTAGGAAGTTAATCCCTGCATGTAAATAAACCCCATCTGTTGCATATAGAATGTAATCACATCATGTATGATGATAGAATTTAACATTTAGTTTTAAAACCACGACTTAATTTACTGTTAAGAAAATATGTACAAATTCACAATGGGATACTTAATACCAACAAAGTATCTTTTTCATGTTTCAGACACGGTACTCATTTGTTGTTGTAGACTATTTAGAATACGTTCGCTTTTTCTTGGTTAGAAATATCATCTCATAAAACGAATGCCCGAGCAATCAATTTATACCAGTAATTTGCTTTCTCTTAAAACATACACGAACCTTTTTCTAAATTTTCTGTAGACATTTCTGTCACTACTAATACTAACTATAACTAAATATGCCATAATTCAAGTTTTGGTTACAGGATTTTATCATGAGCTGACATCGGTTACAGAACCATTGGAAAACCTGGGAGTACTAGACAGCTGTTTTGTCAGCAGTACTGCTGAAGTGTCCTAAACTGGTTTCATTAATATTTGCACACCTGAACAGTTAATTTGTGAATGCCGACATCATAGATTCTTAATAATTATAGTTGAGTTTTGCTTTCCCAATTATAAGTCTGACTTTAGCCTACTGTCACCATTTCTACTCGTATAAATGAAACTTATTTATTTTAAAACTGTGAAACTTTCCTTTTCTTTTTGAATTAACTGACCGCACGTGAACTGTGCACAGATTCGAGGGTGGTATATTTAGGTAGTATGGTACTAACTGCTGCCTAAGATTATTCCTTTTTTATAATACACTAAAGTTTACTGAATTACTTATCAGTAAAGAGACAGGATATGTGAGAACTTTTTTTGTGTGTGTTGATTTTCTTCCTAGGTAGAACGTTTTAATTTATTCAAAAACAAAAGTTTATTCCCACTGACTTTTTAAAGTTGGTTTCGTTTCCGTCTCATAAATGAGTTTCTCAAGGTGGAAGAAATATTTATCGTTTGTATTATACGTGGCAATGTAAATATTCATAAACAATTACAATAGCTTCTAAATTATCTTTAACATTTTGATTTGTGGAAGCAGTTTTCAACTTTGTATTAAACTTGTCTTATTCATTAACTTAATCTTACCTACAAAATGTCCAAAACATTATTGGTGAAAGTATAATAATCGACTTACACAGAACTGTTGGACATTGATATAAAGTGTAAACAGGGTTGTAGAGTTATAATAGCTCATAGAAGATTTACTTTTAAACATGTGGTATGCTACACAAAAAGGTCTATATTTAACCCTTTTCTTCCAGCACATACTTTCGTTTATTGAGCTGGAGACTTATATAACATTGTATTTATACCTGGATAAAGCTGCCGATTAGCCAAGAATCCCTTTGTCTTAAAAACCTTTCATCTTAGCTAAGTAGATAAAGTGGCTTCATATTTCAAAGTTGTGTTAAGTTATCTGCACTCTTAGGCTGATATAACTTTGACGTATGCCCAATTCTTATTTTAAGTAACATTTCACTAGTATAAGGAAATATATAGGAGGCTGTAGAAGTTCACTATCCTACATACAACTAGCATTTTTTTATAAATATTAGGTAACATGACATTTTGTGAAAAATGTCATAATTTAGCTGTGAACAAGTACTTTCTTCAGATTCTTTAGTATTCTGAAATACAAAAGTTGCACATATTGAAACTGTCATTCAAATCACTTTGCAATAAAATAAATAGTCTTCAGTCCTCTCCATTTCGTGATGATAGATAATTGTTTTCATAATTAAACATAAGCACAAATGTATTTTAACATCCAATATAAATGAAGACGTAACACTGGGACCACTCCTCTTAGGCCACATAAAGGTTCAAACTTAAAGTAAATACGAACATAAAATGTTATCCATCTTCACAAGTGAGTCAAAATGTATAAGGGATTGGTCTTTAGAAGACGTTCAGACCTTAAATCACAAAGTAACCACTAATCTAGTAAAATTTGTTAGCACTAGTAATCTTAAACATACATTTGAAAATAAGGATTTCTGTCAGATTAATGGTTTAACCCTTTAGGTCCTTTTCTGGTCGATGTATACATTTATATGTACCTTGTTATGAATCTGTCCTGAAGTATCTCTTCTTTACCACAGTGAAAGACAATGAAGATTGTTTGCCATTCGTAGACGTACTTATAATTTATTAAGCTGATCTTTTATTTTTATTCTTATTTTTTTATTTTTGGTTACAGCAACAAGAGTATAGCATACACGGTCTAACTATCTAGAATACCGTAATTTCTATTCACTTCAATGAAGTAGGTTATTAGTGTGTTTGCACCAATCAAGAGAAGATGAACATGGATTACCAGGTAGTGAGAAAAATTCGAATTCATATAGGATGATAGTCATTCTTTAAAATTCACTAAATGCTATGGATGTAACGAGAAAAATACCCAGATAAATCAGTTAGCCTCTTAACTTAATCATACAATTGTTTCAGTCAACACTATTCAGAACTGTGATAACATGCACCACGTTAAGGTAATTCAGGTACAGAGTTCACTTAATTGAAAAAATGCAGATAAGTCAATCAGCTAATATCTATAGTTGTTACTTAGTTTATCCGTTGGAGGATTTCATCATGAGCTGACATCAGTTAGAGAACCATTGGAAAACCTGGGAGCACTGACCAGCTGTTCAGTCTTAGTTTGAGACTCTTCATCAGTACGCACCCACTGTGGTTCGAACCCAGGACCTTCTGGTTACAAGGCGAGCTCGTAGACTATTAAGCCGCTGGGACCCGATCCAATGGCCAGCCCATGAATTTCAACTTCTGCCAATTCATGACATAGTGCGACACTTCGCAATATCTTCTTTGACGAGTAACCTTCAACCTGCTGTACCCTAATGATCACGGCTTCCCACTAGAAGTTAGGATTCATGGACCATTGGATCGTGTCCCAGTGGCTTAATAGTCCGCGAGCTCGCCTTGTAACCAGAAGGTCCTGAGTTCGAACCGCAGTGGATGCGTACTGATGAAGAGCCCCAAACTAGGACGAAACATCTGGCCAATGCTCCCAGGTTTTCCAATGGTTGTCTAACTGATGTTAGCTCATGATGAAATCCTTCCACCAATCAAACAAAATCCCTACAAAATCAATACTTATTTTATTCGACAAACTTCTATATTTTTCATCACATGATATGAACATTCGCTAATCAGTTCTTTGAAGAAATAAATTGTGTGTACCTTTCAACCTGTAAAATAGTAGTTATTAAAACTGAATATATGCATTACAAAACTGTTATAAAACAATAAATTAATATCACCACAAGTAATTTCAAAGATATTTATTCATATCTTATTTTTGTCACTCCTTATTCAAACAATCGTTTCATGAAGCGATTTGCTTTTGTGATCAACAAATTTTTCTTCTCTTGAATGATTTACAGAAGAGGTTATTCTCTTGAATGTATCAACATTTAGAGATTAAATATGAATATCAGAAAATAAAGAATGAGGATAGCAGCTGTGACTCTAAAGCATTTAAGTACACATTTATTCACTTGCTAACTTACCTGGAATCCAGATTGTGATGCGAATAATCTCCAGACAAGGCATGGTAAGTAAAATAAAAATGACTGTACAGCCAGTAGAATTGGCGCCCACTGGTAATAACTAATTAATCTACCATCACCTGGCAATTCACCAGCTTTTGTTTTTGGAAATGTTGGAAATATTGAATATGGTTGTAATACACGTTGGCCATTAGTGTCTATGTAACCGCCAGGCATAAAATTTGTTTGTGACATTAAAACATTTGACTGAGGATATCTACTTAAGTGTATAAAATACGTACTGGCCACCCAGCAGTAATTCTCTGCGTATTCTTCCCAGGCTCTAGTAAATTCTTGTGGTGTCCAACACTGTATTGGTTTGCCTGATATTCAATGGAAAAAAGCGTAGAGCAGAATTAATTTAATTTAGTTTTAAAAATTTACTGGCATGAGTTAAAATTATGCCGTTCTACTTATTCTTTGGTTGCTGAGACTCTAGCATAGGATGACGAAGTTTTCTATCTATGAACACCTTCATGAGACATGTCATTTAGCCTTATGCCATTTATCCATAAAAATTCACCTACAGAGCTAATTTTAGTCATTCTAAAACTATACGTTTCTCAAATTACGCGTAGCCGTAGCTTTATTTATAAGTGGACAAAACATAAAACATGTATTCAAAAACTTTTGTTTAACGCTTCCTTTACCTTTATCGCAGTAGAATCCTTTTTCGCACTTATTCATTTTAATTTTATTTAATCAGTTAATTTTATTCCACTTCACTTTGCTTCATCACTATGGTTATTGCCACACTTTTAATTTTTTGACATTTGACCAACTTCAAAACTCTTAATATCAGTTCACGTATTTAATGGTCTCTTACAATTCTGTAATCCATCTGCTTCAACTCTACCCCCCTTGAAATCATTTTTGTTATCTTTATTCTCATATAAATACTGACTGGACAATTTTCAGTAGTATCTAATGCCTTTATCATAATATAAATATGACCACACAACTTGAAAATGAAGTCTGAAAGGAAATATTACTTTGCTTTGTTTTAGATGATTCGAGGCAATTGGCAGGAAGCCTTGGACCCAGGTTTCGTGCTAGTTGGCACTCGTCATCAGGGCGTGTCTGCATCCTCGAAGGAACTTATTTCCCTTCTGACATTCAAACCTGTGTCACTCAGTGCTGCAATCAGAGATGTTACCACTAAGCTGTTGAGGCTCACGACTGACCGCCTGTAGGACTGTAGTGGATATTTTTTATTGGAGACTAGTCAGTAACTAGTGCAATGTGTCTAGTCCTTTCTTTGGTTGACACAGGTTCGAATCTCAGAAGGGACATGAGTTCCTTCGAGGTTGCAGGTACGCCTTGCTGACTGGTGAGTGCCAACTAGCACGAAACCCAAGTCTAAGGCTTCCTGCTGACTGCCTCCAACCATCTAATACCAACAATATTGAGTGCACTGTGATAGTGAGCCACCTAGAATGGTGGCCACATTGCAAACTTGACTGATAGAATTCAGTCTGTACCAAAGATAGGACTAGACACACACATTGCACTAGTTAATGACTAGTGTCCAACTAAAAAAAACCGTGTTTAATCTCATTTATTCTTTATTTGTTAATAAAGTATATATATCAAACAGGGGAAAATACAGAGTTTCACTAATGAATGAGTTGAAAATTCAAAAAGTGAATAGAAAATATGAACTTCATAAACACTAATTAGTAAATATAAAGCACTTAGGAAATGTTATCCACCAGGTTTTGTCAACATCTTTTGAAAATTTGTCGAGTATATTTTGACAAGTGTAATTATCAAATATGTGGCCTAATTACTGTCGGTGATTCAACAGTGTGACTTACTTTGAGTCTGACTGTTAAGTATTTCCTTTCATTTTGTTAATCTGTGAACTTATAACTTTGTGTCTGTGTATCAATTTATACAATGTACTCGTGATCTCACATATCCGTTCAGAAAATCCTTTACTTATTAAGACGCTTTTGTTGATCGATACATTTTTTAACTACCTTTTATTCGTAATACTTAGAAAGCCTATGATACCATGTTAAATTATATCTTGTTTGTTGGAGCATTTTACCGTTCAGAATGTTGAGTTCATATTTCCTGATTCAGCGACAGCCTGCAAACTTTGAATTCCTTCTTATCTGTCGGAGAATACTGTTTGTTGTTTACTTTAAAGTGTACCAGTTTATGAAGAAATACGTTGTTATTTGCAACCTTATATAGACTGTGAATGCCGAAATTCTCAACACTCAAAATCAGAAGACAGTAGACTAGAAAGTGTAGTAAACGACAACAAACTGGTAAATTATATTTAACGCAAAGTTTTTGATCAGTCATAAATCATGGAAATAAGTATCTACTAGACGCAGTAGGCTCCATTTTCGACGCCATGGAAATGAAGAAGATCCAGATACCAAAATGTGCTCATTTCTATGAGTAGAACGCCTTTCTGTGTTTATGAAAAATGATTACAACAGTCACTTCCGCACTGTTTTGCATAACAGTTGCTACAGTATCGGTTATCACTACATAATGTTTTTAAAAATTCGCATCGCAAACTCTGGAAATGTCTTGCAAATAAAAGTTGTAGAACTAACAGTAATTTACAATAGGTGGAGAATCAATGGTTTCAATACTCTAAAATTCAATCACAATAAGCCAAAGGCTTTTATTTAAGTCTACATAACAGAAAATAAGTTCAAGATACCATATTTCTATCGAATGTGTGCATTTTGAATGATGAGAACAACTTTTACTATCAAAAAATACTGGCTCAGTCAGTGGAATGATGCTATGGAAATTAGTGACTAAAAATTTAGCAGGTAGAAGAGTACTGTGCACCGCTTCTGGTAGTTTACTTTAATACAAAGTCAACTAACCGCTTATTACTTACAATTTCAACATAAAAGGAGTCACGTGTTAATGTCTATTTGACTTAAACGTGGAAATAAGTTACTTCACTACCTTTTGTGGAAATATGTTAGCTCCAACGTCCACTAATTAAAATAAATAATGTCGGCTAACAGTTTATACATTAAAGTAAGTACAATTTACATGCAAAAACCGGAAGTCTCAATAAATTTAAACTTTTTTCCAAAAACCCGCATAATACAGTGAAGCAAAAAGACTTTTATATTAATGTCGTAAAACTTATATGGTTTTCTTACACACATGAGGACATACACATAGATATATTTCAAAAATTTATTACTTTATATTATTGTTAACCAGATCTTATTAGTCGTATATTGAGCGGTAATGCAAATAATCAGAAATTATGAAGGGAAATAATGTTCAAAAGCTGAAAATTTAAGTGCTACAAAATCAAGACTCAAGATCAAATACTGCTTTTTGAGTAGTTTTGCTTAAAAATGAAACCCATCTAAATCAGTGAAGACTAAGGAGACAAACAATGATTTCACCTTAGTTTGAGACATCCAAAAGAATCGCATTCACCGTTCCATCCTTGGTACAAGTTATGACTGTTGCATTATGGAAAACTTTCAGCATCAATCGTTCATTGGGTCGGGATTCGACTGTCTGTGATCTTCGAATGTTGCTAACTAATTCAAGTGATTTATTCTGACAAGTGGAAAAATTAATAAAGTTTCGTGCACAGCTTTGTAAAACATGTACAAACATATGTATGAGAGGAATAAATTTTCTTCAGCTGCTTATTAGTAGCTTTAACAGTTATTATCAGCTGTAAGGATAGATACATGTTGACAATACTCAATAGAGACCGTGCGTCGGTGGCACAGTGGTCAAGACCCTCCCCGACCATGCAGATGGTCCGGGTTTCGATCCCCTACCGGCGCACACCTGATATCAATGGTCGGTCTGCAAAATTTGGGCTACCGATATCACTTGCTGAAAATTCCATACTTGTACCAAAAATACGGTGTGGAATCAATATATGTGTAAAACTTGGGCATTGTGGTAGTAAGTAATTCCATATTAGTTTGTTTATTAGGTATATCACACAGTGAAACAGTATTATTTACTGGATGACGTTTCGAACAAAATTTATTGTTCATAATCATATCAATTGTGATCACACGACTTTGACACTTGAGTTTTATAGCTTTCTTTGTTTTCTCCTATTTGTCGTAGGGGGAGTAGAATTTTCCAGATATCGGGGACAGGTGATGAATCATTCCTATTACATGTATTTGCAGTTGATTCGATAAACAAAGCTTCTGTTATCAATCTCTCCCTATACCCTGTGACATTAGATTTTAAAACTGTCATCCTATCCCATCCTATTGTATGGTTGTGTGTGACTGCATGTAGTGCTATAGCTGAACTATTCTCTAGATTTCTTATTTTATTCGGGTCAACCAATCTAGATTTTGCTAAGTTCTTATGTTCAGCTAGTCTGACTGCCCCTGTTCTACTAGTTTGACCTATGTATTTGACCTGACAATCATTGCATTGGAATCAAACTATAATAAAAAAAATTAAAATAAAAAATATTAGGAATCTACAGAAGTTTTAGTTCGTGAGCAGTTGTATTGTAATCCAAAGACTAAACGATAACCTGATCCTTTGGTAACTTGACAGTTCATGAGAAGAGCACTTCTGAATACTCAAAATGTGTTTAAATAAATACTCAGCGTTAAATGGACTTCAGAATGCTTTTCAGCTGTTTTTTTGTATGTCATGAAATCAACTTAATTAGAGTAATAGGCTAAAATTAGTAAAATGAGAACACATGTATGAATAAAACTAGTATCCCATGGTTATTTTTAGGTTTGAACATCAGGCAAGCACAAAACTATAGTCCTGTTTGTTGGCATATCTTTGATATAGTTTCAAAATGAGGTAAAATTGCCTAAACAATATATCTTATTAGCTAAATTTCTCAATTACATAACGAAACTACATGATAGACTGGTGTAGTTTAGTACATTCCTAACTGAAACTAAGGTGCCAAAGGAGGTGAACGCATGGTGTTCAGATTATCAAGTATTGTATTTACCGACTGAGAATTGAATTATATTGGTTTTTAAATGCACTTTTAAAAGTGAACAATTGTGCTGCTAGTATTATATGTTTCACAAAGAGGTGTTGTGATTTCAATATTCATAATTCATTCTAAAATACCATCTACGAAAACAATGAATCCGGATGGTGACGTATTTCTTTCATAATATTTAACATTTTATTTTGCAGAAATAGTTTAGACATGGTACATCAGAAGTGCCAAACAAATGTCGATATGAATATCTGGTATGTAAAATTTATTTTAGGTATGAATAGACAGTATGCTGAACATCATGATTGCACTTATTCACTAATTGTCACATTACGTTAACGATCTGTAATATAATTTAATTATTGT